AGTCCACCCCACACCAACTGGGGAATTCTGGGTCTCCAAGCCCATCCATCTTAAAACGCAGATTAGGGGATTCTGGGAGTTGAAGTCCACCTGTCTTGAAACACAGACTGGGAATTCTGGGTCTCCAAGCCCATCCATCTTAAAACGCAGATTAGGGGATTCTGGGAGTTGAAGTCCACCTGTCTTGAAACACAGACTGGGAATTCTGGGTCTCCAAGCCCACCCATCTTAAAACCCAAACTGTGGAATTCTGGAAATTGAAATCCACCTGTTTTAAAACAGACTGGGGAATTCTGGGAGTTGGAGTCCACCTGTCTTAAAACAGACTGGGGAATTCTGGGTCTTCAAGCCCATCCATCTTAAAATGCAGACTGGGGGATTCTGGGAGTTGAAGTCCACCTGTCTTGAAACACAGACTGGGAATTCTGGGTCTCCAAGCCCACCCATCTTAAAACCCAAACTGTGGAATTCTGGAAATTGAAATCCACCTGTTTTAAAACAGACTGGGGAATTCTGGGAGTTGGAGTCCACCTGTCTTAAAACAGACTGGGGAATTCTGGGTCTTCAAGCCCATCCATCTTAAAATGCAGACTGGGGGATTCTGGGAGTTGAAGTCCACCTGTCTTGAAACACAGACTGGGAATTCTGGGAGTTGGAGTCCACCTGTTTTAAAACAGACTGGGGAATTCTGGGGCTTCAAGCCCATCCATCTTAAAATGCAGACTGGGGGATTCTGGGAGTTGAAGTCCACCTGTCTTGAAACACAGACTGGGAATTCTGGGAGTTGGAGTCCACCTGTTTTAAAACAGACTGGGAATTCTGGGAGTTGGAGTCCACCTGTTTTAAAAGACTGGGGAATTCTGGGAGTTGGAGTGCACCTGTCTTAAAACAGACTGGGGAATTCTGGGAGTTGGAGTCCACCTGTCTTAAAACAGACTGGGGAATTCTGGGAGTTGGAGTCCACCCATTTTAATAGATTGCCAGTTGGGGAATTCTGGGTCATCCATCTTAAAACACAGACTGTGGGATTCTGGGAGTTGAAGTCCCCCTGTTTTAAAACACCCTAGCTAGGGAATTCTGGGACTGTCCTTCCAGCTTCTTCCTCCCAGCAGACTCTTAGCTATGTCAAGAAAAAAAAATTTTTTTTTAATATTTGGATTTGAAGTTTTGCATTGCAAAGCCTGGAGCGCCTGCGCACTCAGCAGCCACGGGAGCAGAGAGGGAGGGGGTAGGGGATGATGAACAAAGGCGACCCCCCCGCTCCCACCAGCCTCTTGGCAAGACCCGAGCCTCCATCGTTGCTCTCTCCCCCCCCCCGCCCCATGAGATGGTGCGTTCTAGCCCCGCCCACGCATGCGCGCTTCTTTCAATTCCCTCCGCTTTCTCTATGAGCGAAGCCGGGTCCCTCTGCAAGCGCATGCGCAGCAGAGATCCCGGGTGGTGGGCGAGCGAGCGAGCGAGCCGTGCTAGGTCACGTGATCGGTCAGGTGACCCTCCAAGAGGAAGTGGCTGCCTCCTGATTGGAAAGGTGAGGATCTGGGCTTGCTCGGCGGGCAAAAGGCAACAGTAGCAATAAGAGCCACAAGTAGCAGCTGGAGGCCTTTGCAGAAATCCCCAGCACGGGGGGGGGAGGAGTGTGGGCGTCCAAGTTTTTAAAGACTTGTGGACTTCAACTCTCAGAATCCCCCAGCCAACCCTTTCCAGCTCCCAGGGAACTCTGGGAGTTGAAGTCCACAAGTCTTTAAAAAATGGCCGCCTTAGGTTTTCCAAACTTCGCCTCTTTAAGACTTGTGGACTTCAACTCCCAGAGTTCCCTGTGAGCTGGAAAGGGTTGGCTGGAGAATTCTGGGAGCTGAAGTCCACAAGTCTTGGAGACCTTCCCCTTAGGCTGTTTTGCATGCAGGCTTTGGGAGTGGGCTTCCTTTTTGCACACAGCGTTGCCCCTTTCCACCCCCTGCAGGGGAGGGCATGGAGAGGTGGGGCAGAGGTGCAAGTGGGGCAAGCAGCTGGTGTCCCCAAGGTTTGCAGAGGACAGCAGAGCCCAGAATTCCCAGCCGCTGTTATGGAGCTGGGTTCCCCTCCTGTTTACTGGATGAACAATCCAGTGAGGCCCTGAGATTCAGGGTTGAAATGAGGGGTCCTTGGTTGTTTTCTTGTAGACGTCTCGTGACCCAACTAGGGAATATCATCAGTGCTTCAAGGGTGTGGGGTTTGTGGTGGAGGAGGAGGAGGATGCAGAGGACTGTGGGGTCCTTGGTGCTCTCTGAGCTTGGTTGCTTTCTTGCAGACGTCTCATGACCCAAGTAGGGAACATCATCAGTGCTATTAGGGAGTGGGGTTTGCTGAGGGGAGGAGGAGGAAAAGGGGAGGAGGACTGTGGGGTCCCTTGGTGCTCTCTGAGCATGAGTGTATGCAGATTTCATGATCCAAGCAGGTAATGTCATATCAGGCTAAGCCACATCCCAACAAAACTGTCAAGGGGCAGTCCTCGACATATGACCACAATTGAGCCTAAACTTTCTGCTGCTGAGTGAGACATTGGATAAGGGAGCTTTTGCCCCATTTTACAACCTTTCTTAATACAGTTGTTAAGTGGATCACTGCAGTTGATAAGTTAGTGACTTCCCCATTGACATGGCTTGTCGCAAAAAGGGATCACGTGACTCAGGGACCCAGCAATGCTTATAAATTATGAACCAGTTGCCAAGCATCTGAATTTTGATCACAGAATCATGGGTACGTTA